AAAAAGGAAAAAAAAAAAAAAAAAAAAAAGATGACCGGTAAGGGGATCTTAACCCTTGACTTGGTGTTGTCAGCACCACGCTCTCCCAAGTGAGCCGTGGGCTGGCACTGTGGCTAATCTGTTTCAAACCACAAATGTGATGTTACCTCCTTGCTTCAGTGGCTTCCCAACACTGTTAAAATACAAAATCCCATAGTAGGACTCACAGTCCTGTGTTGCCAGCCCCTTCCTGCCTCAGCTGGTGCCATATTTTTTTGGGTTTCTCTACTTTAGCTAGTGTCATTGGCTTTCTCCACGCTCCTTCCTACCATAGGGCCTTTACACTTGTTGCCATACCATGGAAAAACCCTTCCCCCCCTTTCTCTGACCTTTTTTCAGATCTTAGATCTAATGTCCTTAGGGAAAGTTACATCCTCTAACTTGGCCTGTGAGAGTTTCTCAATACCCCATGGACCTTTCCTTTAAAGCACTGACTAGAGTTGCCATTTTGTGCCTGGCACAAAGCAGACATTAATATGAATTTGTTGAATAAGATGGCAGAATCCTAAATATTCATTAGGCCAGTAGTCTGGCAAAAAAGTTGACATTCCAAAGGTAAAGAGAAGAGACAAATGGTTTATTTGGTAACAAGGTGTAAAAAGAAATTCTTAATTCCCCTTCTCTTTTCTGGTGGCTGAACTGAACTGTGGTAGTCAAATGGATGGCAGCACGCAAGAATTCCCTTGCGCAACTTGACCTTCTGCAGAAATGCGAAGATGCCCGAGTTATATGACTTGCAATTATTACTTTCTAGACAGAAGTGCCAACTGTCGTGCTTCCCAATGTATCAGTGGTTGCTACATTCTCCTTCTTGTCTTCAGGTTTCATGGCAGGAAACAGGAGAACTTCCTACAGGAGATAAAAACACACTTTGAAGCTAAGTAGTACTCTGAACACTTTTTTAAACAGCTATCCACCCATTCCTTTCACCTGTTTATTACCACTAAAATCTAGCTGAAAAGACATGTGTTCTTTTATTTCAACTCAGTCCCTCTCAGAGGATGGAAAAGAACAAACACACAGGATTGCCTATGACACCATGTCAAAAGAGTGAATAAACACAAGTTCTATTAAAATTGGATTTCCTAAAAAAAAAAAAAAAAAAAGAAAGAAAGAAATTGGATTTCCTCATCTATAAAAATGAAGTAAGTTTCCACACCTCAAAGGGTTGACTTAAACTAAACGAGATAATGTAGATGGCTTAGCACTGCCTGGATCCTCAAGTGCAATTAGTACTTTTCCTGACTCAGGTAGGAGAAACCAGAATCTTGAAAGGTCAGATGCTCTGACCATCCTCCTGTGGAGTGGCACATAACTCCTTTGACTGCTCCTCCTCCAGCCCAAAGCCCTTTCTTTATTCTCTAGGCCCACCATGCCCTCCCTCCAACACAATGGAGCATCTTCAGGTCAGTATGCAATGTGGAGGGCTGCTATGTACCTTGATATTATTGGAGTCTGTGAGAAACATGGTGATGCGGTCTATGCCCATGCCCCAGCCAGCTGTGGGGGGCAGCCCGTATTCTAGGGCAGTACAGAAGTTTTCATCTATGAACATGGCCTCGTCATCACCGGCAGCCTTGGCCTAGAATAGGAAAGAGAACCAGAAGGTGACATTCTTCCAGGAAGCCTCAGTGTCTGAGTGAACACATTAAAACACTCAGAGAGAGTACCATCATGCCAGGGATGTTCCTGGCACTCAGGACTTGCTGGGAATTGGCTTCTGAGTCACTCCAGGATTAAGCCATTTCTTTCAAAAACCTGGCAGTAAGGACTGATTAAATCTATCGCAGAACACATACAAATTTCTCTGATAAAACACCTGCACTATTTGGGTCTCTGAGACTCCACTGAGACTAATTCTCAGACTCTATGATGATTCCTATGATGCTTCCTAAGAATGTTTCTCCCACTTCTTGAAACCAGCCATCAATGGCAGTGATAGCCACGAGGCAGCCTATAGGGGCTTCATCTTCTTCATTAATCTGTATCTGCCTATCATCCACCTCAATAAACATATAATGTAAGAAAAATAGAGGCGGCTCCGCTTCCCCTGGAGGGAGGAGGAAGCAGAGATGGGGGCCGCCAGCTGCTAAGCTGCCTGCTGCCTGGAGGGGGAGACAGAGTTGTTTTCCAGCCAGCCTGAAGTTGCAGACTCGCAACAAGGCACACACTATCCAGCAGTACCCTGAGCTCCGCTTCCCCTGGAGGGAGGAGGAAGCAGAGATGGGGGCCGCCAGCTGCTAAGCTGCCTGGAGGGGGAGACAGAGTTGTTTTCCAGCCAGCCTGAAGTTGCAGACTCGCAACAAGGCACACACTATCCAGCAGTACCCTGAGAAAGACAGGAGCAGAAACCAGACAAAGCCTTGGTGAGACTTCGTACTTGAGACCTCGCATGACATGACATGAGTTGCCCTTGCGACTCATGTTCCCCTCCCTCCCACGTTCCATCCTCTCAACCCCCTCTTAAAAAACCCCTCAGTAAATCTGGGTCTTTGAGATGGCTTTAGCCTGGATATTCTTCAGGTTTACTGGGGAGATGGCTTTCGTTTGACCGTTCTTCAGGTTTACTGGAGAAATGGGTTAGCCCAACATCTCTCCTCAGTTCACCGGTATTCCTGAATAAAAGCTGATTTCCATTTTCACCAAAAAATAAAGGGGGTGGGGGGGATAAAAATAAAAATAATTGTTCTTGTTAGGCAAAGTATTTTGGAGACAAGTGTCATGCTCCCCATATAAATAATCTTAACTAAGCTCCTCTTATATACTGTACCAAAGTCTCCATCTTAAAATGTGACCTCCTCCAGCAAAATCTATGGCTTTACTCTTTATTTCTCCTTAAGTCACCAAGAATGACACATCTCCACAGAGCATGGTTAAAGCCGATTTTTCTTGGTGAGTGGGCACAGTGATGAAATACGTGCCTTTGCTTACCCTCTCCTTCCTTACCTTTGCCTGTTCTTCAAAAAGCTGCCGCTGCCGCATGGGATCATTCAGCTCAGTGTAGGCATTGCATACTTCTTTCTTCATGACAAACAGCTCAAAGCGCTCTGTCAGACCCTCTTTATAGCGGTGCCTGGGGACAAGAGACCAAGGAGGTGGCTGAATATACAGAACCCTAATGAACTAACACCTGGTAATAGAATTCCTGAATTCTAGTGGACTCAAAACTGTTACTGTTAGAGTGCAGCCTTGTAACACCAAGGTTAAGGGTTCAGTTCCCTGCACTGGCTAGCCGCCAAAAAAAAAAAAAAGTTAGATTGCAACCTGAAGCCTGCATGCTTTCTCAGCACTAAATCATCACTTGGTACAAGAGCAAGAAGGGTGAGAGAGACCAGGAAGATTTTATCTTCCTTGAAGCCACTGTGGGAGACCATTACACTGAATCACACCTCCTGTATCCATGCCCTTCCGAAGGCCCTCTCACATGGACTCTGGGCTGACCATACGACTTGGTTTGGCCTATGGGTTATCAGCAGAGCCTTGATATGTGTTTGTACATTGAGATTTATTCTTTTAGGATGTTTCCCCTAGGAACCCGCTACCATGTTGAAAGGCTATGCTGACAGGCCGGATGGAGAGACCCTGGAGGGCGAGATCCCATGCAGAGAAACCATGTGCCCTAGCAGAATTCCCAGTTGAGAAAAGCTACTTGAGTTACCCCAGCCAACAACACTTGGAGCAGAAAGACCACTCAGTCAACTCACAAAATCTTGGAAATAAACTGTTGTTTTACGTCACTAAGTTTTGGGGTTACAATGCAGCACTAGGTAAATGAGAAATCATGCTTTGTCTTACCACTTAGCCAAAGGGCTCATTATCTGCGGGTGATCACAGATGAACGTAGGACTGATGCAAGTCACTTCCAAGAACTCCCCGACAAGCTTAATGAGAAAGCAAAGCAGAGCTAGCTAGACCACTTCTAAACAGTATTCGATCATCCCAGTGTAAATGGAAAATCTCAGCTCCCACCCACATGGGTTCATCCTTTAGGTTTTCAGAGGCTGGAAAAGATTAACTGAGATAATACCCATGAACTAACTGACACAGAGCTGGGTATGACAGTTCAGTTTAAGTCTCTTATTCCTCTCTTCAGAGTAGTGGACTGCTCCTCACCACCAGATGAGGACAATGTATAAGGGCGTGGCTTCTCACCTTATCAAGGAGCCTGGCTGTGGTCCGAGGAGGAGGGCATTCAACAGCTTTTGCCACACAAATATCATCAAGAATTTTGCGTGTTTCTGTGATACAAGTGAGGACAGGAGACATCACACTAGGCCAGTAAAAACACATATAAAGAAGAGTGTGTGGGGAGGACAGGAGACATCACACTAGGCCAGTAAAAACATATATAAAGAAGAGTGTGTGGGGAGGACAGGAGACATCACACTAGGCCAGTAAAAACATATATAAAGAAGAGTGTGTGGGAAATTCTGGATCTGACACAATCAAATTCAGAGCTGGACAGGAAGGAGGGCCATACAATGGAAGAACGTCCCTCTTTACCTTCAGTTTCAAAGAGATTAGATTCTGGCAGCTTCACCCCCAGGGCCTTCTCAAGCTCTTCTATCATGCTGATTCTCCGGAAGGGCGGGGTGAAGTCAATATCGTAGGCTTGGCCCTCGGGGCCATCAGGGTGGTATCTGACTTTGTAACCTCCTGTAATGTGCTTCACCATCCCTAGGACAGAAGCCATTATTAAAAAAGACGAAGCCCGGGAAGCCCTACTCTGAAAGCAGCACACCAGACCCCAAGCCAAGTAGGAAAAACAGAGCAGGAGTCACCTGAAACCATCTTCTCAGTGATTTCCATGAGATCGTGATAGTCTGCATAGGCCATGTAGAACTCACAAGTGGTGAACTCAGGATTGTGAGTCAAATCAATCCCTTCATTCCGGAACTGGCGTCCAATTTCATAAACCCGGTCAATGCCACCAACCACCAGCATCTAACAACGCATAGCCATGGTCACAGTAATCCTGTCTTAACAGCTTTGGAAAGTTTCTGTCATAATTTGGTTTACACAGTTTAGGCATGCTCTCAGGTCTCTATGCAAAATGCCTAAGTACCCTGCTCTCTTCAGACCCTTACAGACAGTTATTCTTTTTTGGCTGCCCAAGCCTTCCAAATATTCTTCCTACGTCTTGGGCTTCCTCCACCTTCTGACCCTGAGCCTTTTCCAGGAAGAAGCCTCTCTTGGGGTTGAGCTGCAGGTATGTGACCAAAGCTCTACCAATCAGATACACCTGTAAGACTTCAACATAAAGCTACTCAAAGAAGATGTAGGTATTCCTCAGAATTCATTCTGGTGAAGGGGGCAGAGATGTCTAGCTTTTGGAGGTAGTAGCAGTAGAGGTCCTAGTGGCAGTGACCTGTGCCTAGTGCCAGGTTGTGAGTTGTGGTAACTGTGCCTAGTGGAAAAAATACAAAGTTCTCCATGAGAACAGCTGAGTGATATAATTCAGAATCATCCCTAGTTGTGTGGTCTACAAGTCTGAATCTCTGATCCTACTGGAAACTGAGCTTCCTTACACAGCTGAGTAAAATTTTGTTTTTCTTTTTCTTTTGGTGGCTGGCTGGTATGGGGATCCATGCTGAGAAAAAATTTCTTTTGCTTAAGCTAGTTATAACAGGTTCTGTTGTCTGCAATTAAGAATCTTTTTTTTTTGCAATTAAAAATCTTGAATGACAGTCTTTCATATTTACTGTGATGATTTGAAGATACATTTTTAAGTGATTCGAAGATATTTACTTCTAACTCACAGAGATAGATTAAGCTTTTTTTCTACAAAAGAATAAAATCAGAGAGGGTCCAAGAAAGACTATAAACTTAAAAGTACTAAGGGAACCAAAGAGTAAGGAGGACCTGCACACCTGAGAAAGATAATCTTTTTGTCCTCTGCCCTGCAATGTTCTAGTGATCTTGTAAAGAAATTTTAGAAATGTTACTTATACTTGGAAACCCGACAAATAAAAACACTCCCCTGGCTGTTCTATCTTCACTGTTCCTATTATTTCTGACTGCATCTATCTATCCAGTAGTGTTCTAGCCTTTTGCTTCTTTAAGGGAATGGGGCGTCTTATTATTGACTACCTTATGGTAGAGTTCTGGAGCAATTCTCATGTATAAGTTCATGTCCAGCTCATTGTGATAAGTAATAAAAGGCTTGGCCACAGCTCCCCCTGGGATGATGTTCATCATGGGCGTTTCAATCTAAAAAAGGCAGGGAGAAACGTTTAGTCCTCAGAGGCCTTGGGAACAGCTCATGCTCTGCACATAATATAGTCTAAGCCTGTTATATTCCAAAGTAAAAGTTAGTAAGTTAAGTAGCAATGTGCAAGTGCTTGACAAAAAAGGATCACTTGATTTTCTAGAACAGTGTCTCAATTTCCATTAATATTAAATATCACTTAACATAGTAGCAGAAACTTTCAGAAGCTGTAAGTGGGGATTTAAAGGGATACAGCCTTTCTTGAGTTGGAGTATTTACTAAAAATTTAACTGCTTATATCCTTTGACTTAGTTATTCCACTTCTAGAAATCCATCTTACAGAAACACTTGCACATATGCACAAAGATGTTTATTAAAACATTATAGAGGGCCACCCTGTGGCTCACTTGGGAGAGTGTGGTACTGAAACACCAAGGCCATGGGTTCAGATCCCTATATAGGGATGGCCGGTTAGCTCACTTGGGAGAGCGTGGTGCTGACAACACCAAGTCAAGAGTTAAGATCCCCGTAAAAAAAATAAATAACAACAACAACAAAAAAATTTACAGAAGAAAATCAGAAGTTAAAATATCAACAGGAGAAAGAAATAAATCATGCAGCATTAAGAAGGTATGCACGCACGCACACACAGACAGACATGCAAAGGGCTCCAGAATATATTAAGTGGAAAAAAAAAGCAGGTCCATTATAACATAGTGTGACCTCATTCATATTTAAAGCAAAAAATAAAAACCCTCCAAAACATTTACACACGTATAACCCATGTATGTTTGTATGTATGTATACATGCATAGTAAATGGTGAGGGAGGATACATATCAAACTCAAGTTTGGGCAGGGAAGTTAGCTGGGAGAAGCAAAAGAGTACTTTCAGTTTTGCTTAATTTTTTTATTGTTTGGATTTGTTTTACTTGCTTTTCTCATACAACTAAAAAGTATTTTTTATTGCTACAAAAAAAGCAAAATTACTTGATAACATATTGAACATGGCATCATTGGCACATGGATGGCCCTACACCTTGTCATTTTCTTGGAAGTCAGGTCCTGCCTTCCTAATCAGGGCACTAAATAAATAAAATAGAATAAAGACACTGGCAAGAAAGGGGACGTGCTCATTAAGTATGAAGGACACTGACACAGGACATGCCTTGAAAAAGGAAGGGAAGGGATAATAAGAGGAAGGCATAGCAAGGCAGCTATGTCACTTAAGAAATTCTCTATTACCTCTAGGAATCCCAGCTCATCCAAGAAACTTCTTATATATGTGATGATCTTAGAACGGATGATAAATTTCTGCCTCACAAAGTCATTCAGGATCAAGTCTAAATACCTCTGACGATATCTTGTTTCCTAAACCAAAAGCATCAATTAGAAATGACTGCGATGTTTAATTCAGTGGTGTGATAAAACAAATGGAATGCATCTTTGTGCTACAGCTAGGAGGCCATGAGAGCTTACCTTATCTTTGAGGCCAAAATGAAGGTGAGGTAACATGTGCAAGCAGGGAGACAGCAGTGTGATCTCATAAGGTATGATGCTCAGCTCACCCTTCTTGGTTTTCCCAGGATTCCCCTGAACTCCAATTATGTCTCCCCGACGCAGTTTGTTATTGATATGAATAAATTCTTCTTCTGATTTATAATTTCTGAATGAAAAGAAATGTATATATTCAGTATACAATAGTTCAAATCAAAATAGACCTCTGGTTTACTCTGGAACCCCCACTCAGCTGTTAATACATAGTAATGCGAACCCAAGAAGAATCTCAGATTCAGGGGCAACTATTAAAAAGAACTGTCTTTTATTTTTACTGTTATACAACTTGAGAGCAGTTATTACTTTCCAGGTGACCAGGTGGCCTTTTTTTTTTTTAAAGATGACCGGTAAGGGAATCTTAACCCTTGACTTGGTGTTGTCAGCACCAAGCTCACCCAG